TACAGAGACGTATTTACGTCAGATTCTCCGGAACCGCGGTCTCCACTGTCAATTCTTTGTTTCACAAGATTTCTGCTTTAGAAATATTTTCCTTTGCCTTGATTTCAAATAATGAAGTAAATGTTATTAATCGTGATGATAGTGTCATTTAAAGTTCATTTTACAGTAGTCAAAGATAATACCCAATACTAAATTGTGCTCATTACCTCCACGTGGGTTGATGATATTAACCGGAACGCTTATATATCAACAAATCACGCGCAACAGCTTGAGACTCGGCCCACATTTACCTAAACTGACCCATCGGTGTGGAGTCGAATTATATAACCCATTAGTTACGGTCCCTAACAATATTCAGAAGTAGACTTACCACTGCTGCCAAATATGCACTCAGCGAGTGAAGAAATTTCCCCGCCTTTTATAGACCCCCGCAAGATCCCGCCTCTGGACTCTGTCCTGAACCAAACGAATCGAGCTCACATCCTACGCCCTGTGTCTAAGATCCATTTTGATTCTGTCCTCCCATTTACGCCCAGGTCACCCGAGAGGCCTCGTCCCTTCGTATTTTCCGAGCTAACTGTCGTTTGTTTTTCAGCCGCGTAATATCTGGTGAAACGTTAAAGTTATGATGCTCCATATTACGCAGTTTTCTCCAGTCTCTCTCCATGAAGCCGCTTTCCTCAGTTCTTTGTCCTCGTAAACACACAGGCTCTGATCTCTCCACGTTTTAGTCATTGAGAAGACGTCAGCGTAAACATACTAATGATAATGTCAACTCACGCGTGAGGTAGTGACATTAGCGTGTTTTTAAACGCTACAAATTCGTTGCCTACTAAGTGGTTTCTTAAGTTTTCTTTAAACTCACATTTTGGAAATGTGGATCCTATCTTGTGACGTACGCACAGGCTAGAATGCTGGCCTTGTAATCTTGGGGTCTCGGGTTCGATTTCCGGCGGTGACCGAATTTATAACTTGTGTTGGGCAAGGCCGTGGTCTAGGCAACACGGAGTTTTCCTCCGTGGCATCCCAACAATTACTCCATTCACACACAGAAGAAGGCAATGGCAAACCACTTCTGGATCATCTGCCAAGAACGTATATGAACAGGTCCCAGTCCGAGAAAAGGATGGAAGGATCCTGTTCATACGGACCTGTCGTCAGACAGAACACTAAATAATAATAAGTCATAGAAACGTCATTAGACGAGTCGTGGCTGATTTTAAAAGGCCGTGTTATTAAGGACGCATTCGAGAAACGAACCTTGGATTTGTCGCTTGTTATTTTGCGCATGGCACATGGCGTAAGCTAATATAATAAGACACGCACAATATATTTGTTTTAGGAAATTAATGTACCCATATATTTTTTATTTAGTGCTGTGCTTGCCTTCGGAACGAAAACTTATTTTTGAACGTGATGGGTGTCTTCTGGGGTACAGCGCCGTGTAGTCTGGTAGAAGCTTACCGACGTTTCAGTGGTACTTGCTGTCTCACCGCCCTGATCATGGAAACCACCCGAAACGTTGATAAACTACCAGGCTAGACTTCGCTAGAACCCTGTAGACAGCCATCTTCGTTACCTTCAAGAGAATGCCCTGGTATGGCCTTAGAGATCACTTATCACCTGCCCTCCATTCGACGCCGCGTCACCTCAGGAGCTGAAACACCTTCTTAAAACAACCGAATACACAAACTTTGTAACAGATTGGTCGTTTTCGGATTACGAATTCCGTGGTTCTTACTTTTAAAACATCTTTCTTCTGGAATTGATACGTGCGTGTAACGTCGCCTTTTCGTTTACATTTTCGTGTGTATTAGATTAATCTTCGGCCACCAGAAGCCTCTTAACACTAAATTGTCTCGTGAAAGAAGAATTAAACGGAGGTTCCGAAACCGAAAGGCTGTGACGTCACAGGTTTTTTTATTCTGATGTTTACAGCCGTGGCTTCGAATGGTAATAGGTTTTATGAATACCACTACATCGTTTCATGCATTAAATCACTTTTAATTGGCCAACGACGTAACGTTATTGGACATGGATATTTTATATATCGTTTTTTAAGGAAATCGAATAAGAATTATTGTTTTCGGGGTGTGCGTCTTCGTTTGTGTGAGTGTCGTAAGAGAATTAATTAACTGTTGATTAGCATTGAAATGGGCTGTATTTTTTTTACAGATTTTAAACATTTGCGTAGATCATATCGGCGTACCGTATCACCCAGTTTTATCAGACGCGTTATGATTGAGCTTAAAAAAGAAAAGAGAGTTAAAAAATGTGTAGAAATTAATTTTTGTCAGTGGTGACCTTTTTTTTTTCAGTTTTCTTGATATTACACTTCATCTGACAGCAGATGTAATTCCGGAACCCCCCCCTATTTTTTTATACAAATTTTGAAATTCTGTCACGTTCCACCGGTGGTACGAGGACCACAGTTGGAGAGAAACTGCTGTGGATCAGGTTTCAGGACGTGCCATTTTTGCTCGTAACAAAGCTTTCAGTTGTTGGGAGTTTCACTTTTGGCGTGTGGTCCCAGTGGCAGGCATCGCGGAATGTGACGTAGGACGTGCCTAGTCGTTGAAGCATGCTCTGGAGAGTAATTTGGTAGAAAAGCTAGTAGATGTGCTCCTGAGACATTTATGTGTTTCGTAAGTTCGGCAATGCAATTTGTATAAAAACGTGCCAGCTTGTTGTTTCGTAAGAATTAATGCAGGAGTTTACGTGAGGATTACTCCAGTCTTATGTTTCTTCACGAATAAAGTTTTTGGGTTCATTATCGGCACTGTTGGGTCACTGCTTTCGGCGGTCTATTATTTAAATTGGTTATGAAATTACATTTTGTTAAGTAACATTTTAAGAACAAGCTCTATTGCTAAAACAAATTGCCTGCGGAATACATGTTTAATGTACGAGGTGCGATCGGAAAGTTTCCAGACTGCGCTTATAAAAACCCGTACACTTATCACAGGTATTAAATTCATCCATCCCCCTCGAAGTAGTTCCCCTGGGAGTGAACACAACGATCCCAGCTCCGCTGCCAAGCCTGGAAGCATCCCTGGAAATCTTTCTTTGTCAGCCTGTCAAGCACCATCTGCGATTCTGCCTGAATCTCTTCTATCGTCTCAAATCTCCTTCCCTTTAGCTAAATTTTCATCTTTGGGAAGAGGAAGAAGTCACACGGAGCTAAATCCG